AAAACATCTTTTTTGTGCCTTGAAGTTAATTCGAGGTTTGTATTATACTAATTATTCCAGCGTGAATGAAAAAAAAATGGCAAAGAACAATTTAGCCATCGTCAAAAAAAAAAAAAAAAAATTCACGACCACATACAACTACGTTTCTGTGTATATATATATGAGTTGAATTGGATTTCCCTTTTTGTCATTTTAGAATGCTTCATGCTTTCTCTTTCTCTCAACAAAACTTTATTACCATATAGAATGAATTTTTTTCTTCTTTCATTTTTCCAGAGAAAGAAAATCGTTAGGGACATACGACAAGAAAACTTTGGCATTCCAAACTAACTACATTAATTTTTTTTTCTTTTGTTGCAAACGAAAAAAAAATTGTATAACAATCTCTATATACAGAGGATTATTAAAATCAGAAAATGTCTAAAGAATGTTGAGAAATAGAGAAGGAGAAAAAATTCTATAGAAATTATTATCTCTGTAAACAAAATTTTATATAATACTCACAGACAAAAATTCCATCTCGAAAATTAAAATACACAAAAATAAGTCAAAGGAAAAAAATTGTCACCGTCTTTTTCCAATTGTTTTACTTCTTTTATTCTTTTTCTATTTTTTTCTAATTTTTTTCTAATTAATTATTTTTATGCTTTTTTGTAATTAAATTCCTTTTATAATTATAATTTAAGGAGAAAATTTTTTAATTTAATTTTTCAATTTTTATTCGAAAGAAGTTATCAAATAGGTCGTTTCATTTCTTTTTAAAAACAATAGAGAAAGATCTTTCTAATCAATATTTATATGTATGTATATATGTACTTATTAAGATAAATGACTAATTCGGTTTAACGCACTATTCCCATTAGCTAATTAATTAAGTTTGGCAAATAAATCATCCAATGCAAAATATGATTCGAGAATTTACTTTATAAACACTTCCATTAGTTCCATTAGAGTTCCATCAGTAATTGAAACAGTAATTAGTGGCTGATTGGAGCGACACTTAATGTTAAAGCGACCTGAACGTTCAGAAACGAATAATTAAAATCAACTTGAGAAAGAAATATTTTTCCCGTGGATGGAAAACTTTAGAAAATCTACTTTTTATTTCTCCCTGACAAAGAAAAAAAAAAATTGAAAGTGAAAAAGAAGAAGAAAGAGAAGAAAAAAAGATAAAAAGAAGTTTTAAAATATTTCACGCGATATTAAATCCAGAACGTGTATATCTTTTACTGGAAAGTGATATTTGAAAATTTGATAAGAAATTTCTTTTTTGTTACTTTAGTTGAAGTTGGAAAAAAAAATTGAAAAATTATTTTCCATTTTTTGTTTTTCTTTCTAAATTAGGAATTTTTATTAGAAATATAAATTATTTCTATAGGTATATAAATAAATTTTTTAATCGTAATATTAATTTTATTAATTATTAATTACTGAAATGAATAAATACAGAATTTTTTTTTTATATTTGTTTTTCTATAGATTTATTTATTTAATGTATATACGGATTAATATAAATATTCTTTTTGAATGTAGGTATTTTTTTCTATACATAAGTCTTCTTTTTTGAGATCTCTGCTTTTAATAAATATGAAGTTTTTCTCTCAATATAAATATTTTTTCTTTATATAAATCTTCTTTTTTTAAATATAAATGTTTTTTCTAAACATAAATCTTCTTTCTAAACTAAATTTTTTTTCTAAATATAAATATTTTTGCTAAAAATAAATCTTCCTTTTAAATATAAATTTTCTTCCCAAGTGTTAAATTTTCAAAAAACAAATTTTCTTTTTAAATATAATTCTTTTTTTTGTAAATATAAATTTACTTTCTAAAAATAAATTTTCTTTGCAAAAATTATCTTTTAAAATATAAATTTTGTTTCGAAAATTATTTTCTCTTTTTTTCTTTCTTTCTTTCTTTCTTCTTCTTGTCAAAATAAAAAGGAGTTGAAATTTAAAAAGCAAATTTTTTTTTTATTAAAAAATTGAGTAATAATGGAAAATTTTTACCAAGAATCTCCTTGGTATATAATGTTGTGCAGTTATGATGTGAAATATTAGCACGTACAGAGAAAATGATGGAAAAGAAAGATAAAAGTGATAGTAAGCCTGAAAAAGGGACAAAAGAAATTTTTTTTTAAAGAAAAATCTGGCGAACGAAGGCACGCGCGCTTCACGAGCTTGTGCCAAAACTTTTATCTTTCGAAGACTTTAGCAATTTAAGAGGGGAATGGGGGAGGGGGAGTTTGAGGTTTTAAAGAAGGAAACATGCAGTTTACTGGCAAGGAAAAGCTAAAAATGTATTGTGCACCTAGACGATATAGGAAAAAAAAATTTTTAACTGAATAAGATACTAAATACTAAGAATAAATAAATACGAACAGAAATAATAATAAAAAATATAAATAAAAATAGACCACATTTGGAACCAATCAATAAAAGGACCATATTTGGAAAAAATTATATTGAGTAATTGTTATTGTTCTGGAGAAAATGTCTAAACTAAAAATACTAAAGTAATACAGCATTAAAATAACGATGATTGGAAGTAATTATACGAATAATTAGTTAAAAAATAATTTTATTATTAGCAATTGATATTAATAAATAAAGATACTTACGAGACTAATGATAAACATAAGAAGAGGTCATACAAAAATAACTTCAACTCTTTGGTGAACTTTAAAAATATCGGAAACCATTTCCAAAACACAGGAAACGAAATAATTAAACATTAAATTAAGGACACTTGGAAATAATTATAATTATATGAATGAATGAATTCATTAATTGTTAATTTAAAACTGGTCTATTATTAACAGTTCATAGTAATAAAATAATCCTCATTAAGGATAAAATATAAAGAAAAATTTACAATAAACACAAAAATATACAATCTTGATATTGAATAAATAGTTCATATTATTGATTTTAGTAGACTTTATACCTAAAAAAAATTTGTAACAAAATAAATGAAAAAAAAACGAAAAAATAAATAAATGGAAAAAATAGTTTACCATACAAAAAGAAATATTACGATTTTCCCGCAGATTCACGGAAAATCAAACTTATATCTTTGGTTTTCAACTTTTAAAGCCGCAGTGCACGTGTATACCACTGAACAGCAACTGACTAGACATTTGAAAGTTTTAAATTATTTTACAACACTTTTGTAAAGCGGTGAAACGAAGTTTAAAAAATTTTGTTTTCTCTCTCTAAACTTTTCTAATACTTAATTCTATGGAACTTAAAAAGTTTCAAGAGAGATTTTCGTAAAATTAAATTTTTTTCTGCGAAAATAAAGAAAGTTTTTTTTCACTTTTCCTTAAAAAAATTTATGCCTACAACCGCTTTTACTGTTGAATTTTTTTTTTTAAACACAAAAATAGTTTTTAAACATAGTTTAGAAAAAAAGCTTCACTGTAAAATTAAGCCAATATAAAGGAAAAATTTTCTAATATTTTGTTTAATTTTTATAATAATAACTTATGTATAATAATATAATATACCTACTAATAATAACTTAATTTCTTTTTAAATTAAAAAGTAATTAAGGCATTTTTGAGTTTTATAAATATTAATTTTTTTTATTTAAAATAAGGTCTTTGATATTTGAATAATTATTATTTACTCAATTTATGTCCAAATTTACTGAATAAAAATTTTAGTAAATAGTAAAGTATAATTTTAATTTTAAAATCGAAATTTTCTTAATATTTGGTTAAGTGAGCTTAAATTTTAAATCTAAAATAATAAAAGAGTTTTTTTTTTTAATTGAATTATAAAAGTATTTATGTAGAATAATAATTATTTACTAAAATATTAAAATTTACTGAATAACAATTTTAATAATTTTGTGTTTTTATGTATTTTTACACAAATTTAAACAAGAAATCAAAACTTTGGTCTGACTAAAATTTATTTATACTGCTGATAAAGTAAAAATTTAATAAAATACAGTAGTAAAAATGTTTTTTAATAAGACAATTTCCAATATTTTATAAATTTTCGGAATTTGAATGAAAATCTTTTTAACACTTATTTAATACGAAAATTCAAAACATGTGTCTGACTAAAATTGATTTGTACTACTGAAAAATAAAAATTCATTAACTTTAGTAAAAAAATACGTAAAGTAATAATAATTTTTTACTAAAATCTAATAAATAAAGTAGTAAAATGTTTTTCTACTGCTATTTTTTCTAATAGTTTTACGATTTTACTTTATTTTAACTAATGAATTATTACAAACACTTTTTTTATAATTATTTATTAGTAAAATTTAACTAACAAACCAGTAGAATCTTTTGTCCAATTCTGACTATGTTTCCCTATAAATATATTTTCCATTACTATTTTTTATTAGAATTTAAATTAATTCAGAAACAAAAAGTATAAAATAATTGTATAATAATTTAAAATAATTTATAATAATTTAAAATAATTTATAATAATTTAAAATAATTTATAATAATTTATAATAATTTAATTTATAATAATTGTAAATTATAAATTTACAAATGAAATAATTTTATAATTTACAATTATTATAAATTAAATTATTATAAATTATTATAAATTATTTTAAATTATTATAAATTATTATACAATTATTTATATTTTATTATTAAACGGATATCATTTTTATAAATTAATAATTTTTTTCAACACTTGAGATAATTTTTAATTTTTTAAGTGCTCAAAATTTTTAATCTAAAGTCATAAGAGTGTAATTTACAAAGAACAATTATTATGTAAATTGGAGTAAAATGAGTATATATTTTATAATGAGCTTCGAGGGTAAATTAGACATAAATATATGTAAATTAGACTGCGCTGATATTTATACGATTATTTCTTGCGAGATAATGTGAGTGTGAGTGAGAGAGAAAGAGGAGGAAGAAGAATAAGTGAGATTGTAAGTTTAGTGTAAAAGAGATCATCCGGAATTGCAGGTCATGTTACACATTCTTATCTGTGATCATTTGCTTTTGTTTACAGCCTGACGGAACGGCGGAAACGAAGAGTTACTTTATTTTTACAGTAACAGAATACGATAGTGGAATTCCATTTAGTTGCCAGGCTGAGAATTCGGTCATGCAAAAAGAAGGAACAAAACCTTTGAAAGAAACAACAACAATCGAAGTCTTATGTGAGTAATTTTCATTTCTAAACATGTCTACATTTATACATATATCATCTTTTATCATTTTCATGAATGGATCATTGTCTCCTTATTTCTCATTTAATATCATCCATCTAATTACTTGCTCTATTTTAAATTATTTTTTTTTATTATACATTCTAAAATTAACATTCAATGCCCTTTTGAGTAATCTTAATGGATAAAATTTTCGCATACTATAGATTTTTATATACGATAGTAATAATATTATTTAACATTTTAATCTACATTTTTATTATTTAAATTAAATTATTTTGTATATTATTTAAAATATCGATTACATATTTAAAAATATTTAAAAATAAGAAAATATCAATAAAATGAAAAAAAAAAAATAAAAAAAAATTATTTCAAAATTATTTCCCTCGAATAAACAGGAAATCTATTTTTTTTTCTTATTCAATATATAGAAATCATTCTTTTTCAAAAAATCAAAACAAATGTTTCTGAAAACAAAAGGTTCGTTAATAAAATAACATTTATTTGAAATTAAAAGGAATAAATATTTCTTGAATACAAGAAAATATGAGAAAATGGAATATGTAGGGTAATAAAGAGAAACTGAGAGAAAAGATTATTCGTTATTGATCGTCTATTCCAATATTTTCCCTATAGATACAAGAAAGAAAAGGATATAGAAAACTAGTTAAAGCGCAGATATATAAAGTCCTCATCGAAGAAAGGTTACGTGACGAGCTTTAGAAATGCGTATTTGCATGAGGAAAGCGATGTCATGACGAGTAAAAGCTTCGCAAGTCTACAAGGGAAATGAAAGCTGAATGAAGTCTCCTAGAACCACATTTCACTATAAGTCACGTCCCCCTCCATATACTCTATAAAATTTAAGGCCTTTTTGTTTTTTTACTTTTTTTGAATCAAGTTTTAAAGTATATATACTCCATATAATGTAGTATGTTACAATTTTCAAAAACTACTTTAACTTTTACTTCTTTAGATATAAATTATAAATTGCTTTTCAACATCATCACTGAAAATTATAACACACGTGTGTTGCGTGCTTAATTTTCTAATAAAGAACTTTATTCGATGCCACTGCTTTGTTAAATAAGAAGTTTAATTTTCCTTCAATATAATCTTTATGGTTGCGCATTCATCAAAACTTTGCACATATTTGATCGTTGCCAGGGGAAAATTAGTTGATAAGTTGCTTTTCAATTAATTATCTTTACCTAAAGTTGTATAGAGTTTATTAAAGTTTTAGAATGAAAAGTTCGAACGATTTTCTAGTACTAATTATATTATAATACGCATTAAGGAAAATTTTACATTTTGCAATATTATTTTTCTTATAATATTTTTTATACCATTCTTTTACACAACAATTTTTTATACTATTTTTTAAACTATTTTTTATACTATTTTTTAAACTATTTTTTATACTATTTTTTGTACCATTTTTTTACACAACAATTTTTTATACAATTTTTATACTATTTTCTATATCATTCTTATACACAACGAATTTTTATACTATTTTTTAAACTACTTTTTTTACTATTTTTTTCACTATTTTTTTCACTATTTTTTATACTATTTTTTATACTATTTTCTATACTATTTTCTATACTATTATTTTTGTATTATTATTATTGTTATCACAAAAAAAATAATTATTTATTTAAAGGAAATAAAGAAACAATTATTATTTCTGTCATTTTCAAACAATTGAATGAAAAAAGACTTAATTCGTTACCACGACAACTAAAAATATTCATTTCAACAGAAGTTTAGTTTTAGTTAGTTTGACAAAACGTCTCGTCGTGCGGACATGAAAATTGTATACCGAATTTGTTTTCGAATTTAATTAATTTTATTTTATTTTTACTTCACTTTTCCCTGATTTCAAGTTTTCAGGATAGAATTATGACGTTTTCATATAGGATTTAAGGTTTTCAATAAATTAAAATTAGTAAAAAGTCGTCAACTAATTTTAATTATAGTAAAAATTTCTACTAATTTAAAGGAACTTTGCACTAAAAATTTAATAAAAAATTTGAGAATTATAGTTATAATTAAGAATTATAGTGGAAATTTCCACTAAAATGAGTTAGTCGACGACTTTTCACAAATTCAAATTTAGAAAAAATAATTTAAAAGAATTGTTACTGTAGGCTTTCCAAAATTATTTTCATGATTTTAATTCAAATATTTTCTACAATTTTTAACTAAAATTGTCTTCAATCGTAATAATTAAAAAAAAAATTTTTTTATGATTGAAGTATTCAAAAAGAAAAAAGAAAAAGTTCAATTTGAAATCATTTAAAATTATTTATAAAAATTGTAAACACAACTCTTATAAAATTCTATAATTTTTTTGAATTTTTAAATTCTTCATTATATAATTTATAACCGAATAATTTTATGATAGTTTTTCAAGAAATAAATTTATAAAAATAAATTCAATTTGATTTTCTATAAAATTCAAATATTGTCAGAAATACAAAAATTTAATGTTTTTTACTTTTTTTTTTAGAGTGATTTTAAAGTTTATAAGGCAAACAAAAAAATACAAGAAGAATGAAATCTTTTTGATATTTTCAAAAAATTTTTTATACACAAAAATCTAGAATTATCTTATGAATTCTTAAAATTTAATATTTTTCCAGTACTATAGTGATAAAATTTTCAGACTTTTCGCTGATTTCCCAGATCAATTTAACTTTACCTGATATTTTTCTGAATTTCCCGATTTCCCTCACATATGGCAAACATATAAATATATTATAAAAGTAGATTTAATTTTATTAGTGAAAAATTGATTTTTATAAGCGAAAATTTTTTCCCCTAATTTATTTCTGCAATAATATTTACGTATTTTAAAGTTCCAATATTAATATGATTGAATATTTCATAATTATAACAACAACAAATTTTTTTGATTTCAGACGAACCGTTAATAACATTAAAACCAAATAACATAACAGTGAATGAAACAGAACAATTTACAATGCTTTGCGAGTACGTCGCCAATCCAGCCACATTGACGAGTGTAAAATGGTAAGTTTTCTTTTTTGATAAATTATTTCCTAAATTTTCGTAAATTGTGTGAAAAATTTTTTAATTAAATTTTTAAAAAAATTAACTTCATGAAAAATTATTTTCAAAAATTAATAAAAAAAGTGTAATTAAATTATAAATTATAGAAAAAAAATAGTTGGTGTATAAAATTATATTATAGCCAATTAAATAATTTTATCATTATGCTAATTTTTTGCATGTGATGAAAATCGTGGGAGATGAAGAATAGGCATTATGCGCGACAGTTTTTTTTTTCTATTTACATTGAACGGGTAATTATTTCTGTTATCGTATTATTTAAACACGGTTGGGTTTATTAAATAATGAACGATTATATACGGTTTACGAGAATCCAATACCTTCATGATAAGTGATCCATAAAATACGATTTTGCGAGCCGAGTTTATATTTTGCGGAACAAGCAAATTTTTAGTCATATAACTTTGAGCTCGGTCATGCACCATCAAAAAGACTGCTACAAAAAGCAATGTTGAAGGCAATATCAACAGTTTACGAGCTTCATTGAAGGTCCTCTCTTTTTTTGCCTCCTATCCTTTTTTTGTAACCTTCGTTTAAATGTTGATGTCCAAATTAAAAGCGGGTTATTCGCACCGAATGGTAGAAGGTTAAATAATGATTATTTATTTTCACGGTTTAATTATCAGTTTTCTTTTGAGCATTTGTATACATTTTTTTTTGCTTTTTCTTTTGCATTTGTTTTTTCTTTTCTTTTGCAATCTTTGATAAATTTTCCCCTTTTTTGTACATTTATTTGTATTTTTTTATTTATTTGTATTTCTCCTCCGATTTTTTAGTTGAATATTTTTTTGTAATTTTATTTTTTCCTTCTTTTCTAAATAGTTATTAATTCATTTTTTCTCTTTATTTTCCATATTAAATATCAATTTGTAATTACTAAATATTTATCAAGGATGATCTTTTTTTAATTTTTGTTTTTCTTTTATATTCGTCAATATTCAATATTTTTTTATAGGTTTTATTTTCTAAATATTTGATATTTTTTTATTCGTGATATCTCTCGTCACTATGGTGAGCTATTTTTTTTATTGTTCTCGATGAAATAAAAGTAAAAAAAATAAATAAATAAATAAAAAATTCCCCGCTAAAAAAATTTCGTTATTTAATGACAAACAGGACATTTTAAATCCACAGGTTACGTGATGGAGAAGAAATTGCCTTAGATCCATTAATTTATGAAGGTGGTTCCATACAAAAGACGGATCTTACGATTAAAAATTCCACCTCTGAACATATGGGAAATTATACGTGTGTTCTGGAGAATACAGTGGGAAAGGGCAATACATCAGACTTTGTTGTTGTTTCCGTATTGTGTATGTATTTTTTCTCTCTCACTCCCTCTCTCATTCTTTAATGTGTTAATTTACAATATTTTAATTAGAATAATCATTAATAAAATTAATTCATTATAGGATAATTCATTTATTTTGATAATTAATACAGTTAATAATGTAAATTAAATTAATAATTAAAAAACAAATTTCTATCAACTGTTTTCTTAAATGTATGGTAAGGTATCAAATTTAAACCAAATTGAATCAAATTGAATTTAATTGATAATAAACTAGATCAAATTGAATCAAATCGATAACAAATTTGACAAAATTCATTCAAATTGATAACAATTTGGATCAAATTCAATCGGATTAATAAGAAATTGAGTAAAATTGTTAAGAAATTGTATCAAAATTAAATAAAATTGACTGATAAAAAATTGGATTAAATTTCATCACATTAATAACAAATAGGATGAAATTAAATAAAATTGAATCAAATTGTTAAGAAATTGGATTAAATCCAATCAAATTAATAACAAATTCTGTCAATTTTAATCACATTGATAATAAATTAGACCAAATTGAATAAAATTGAATGAAATTCAAAAATAAATTGAATCAAATTGATAACAAATGTGAATAAATTGCAACAAATTTTGACTGAAATTGGATAAAATTGAGTCGAATAAAATCTAATTAATAACAAACTGGACCGAATTGATAACGAATTAAATGAAATTAAACAAAATTGTTAAGAAATTAGATAAAATTCATTTAAATTGATTACAAATTGATCAAATTTAATTTAAATTATTATTTTTATTAAATTATTATTACAAATACAAATTGAATGAAATTGTTTACTAATTTGGTCAAATTCAATCGAATTGATAGCAAACTGGATCAAATGCAATTAAATTGAGTCAAAACCATAACAAATGGAATCAAATTGTATAAAAATAGAAAACAAATTTGAAGACAATGGATCAAATTAACTAAAATTATATAAAATTGAGTAAAATTGAATGAAATTAAATAATATTAAATCAAATTAATAATATATCGGATCACATTAAATTAAACTGATAACAAATTGGATAAAAATAAATAAAATTGAATTAAATAGAATCTAATTCATGACAAACTGGATCAAATTGAATCAGATTTATAAAAAAAATTGGATGAATTGAAATAAGATTATATCGAATTAAAAATAATTTGGAATAAATTGACCAAAATTTTATCAAATTGTTAATAAATTCAAAAAATTCAATCAAATTTATAAGAATTAGATCATATTCAAATAAATTCAATTAAATTGATAACAAATGTGAACAGTAAAACTGGTTCAAATTAAATCAAACTTATAAAAAATTGCATCAAATTAAATCAGATAGATAATAAACGTGATCGAATTGAATAAAATTGTTAAGAAATTGGAATAAATTCAATCAAATTGATTCCAAATTTGTCTAAACCAATTAAAATAATAACAAATTGCATCAAATTGATAGTAAATAAAATCAGATGCAATTAAATTTTATCAAATTGGTAACAAATGTGAACAGAATGAATCAAATTGTCTCAAATTAGATAAAATTGAATGAAATCATCAAATTGAATTTAATACAAACAAACTGGGTGACATTGAATCAAATTAATAAGAAATTAGATCAAATTGAATAAAGTACACAGGTTTACAAATTAAAAACTTTTTTTTGCCAATCGAACAAAACATTTTTTTTTTTAAATAGTAGGTGTTTTTTGAGTAAGAAAATCATAGTTTTAATTTTTTTTCCCTCGTGCAGTTTTTCTGTAGCTTCAAATTTTGCATTTTCGAGGTGCGACGCCACTTAAACTTACCTGTAAGAAAATTAGCTTGTCAAAATATAATAAATGAAGTATCATTGGAAAGGTTATTAAATTACCTTTCGGTCCATAGGTCACAGAATAAAATTCAACAAAAATTGAGAGAGTTACAGTCGATTAAAGATGAAATTTCATGACAATTTTGATGACTTTAGACATTTGAGTAACTTCTACTATTTTTTTCTATATCAAACGGGAAAGAATGTTTAGGTTTTTATTTTTTTATTGATAGACTATATCATTACACAAATTTTAAGCCCTTGTGGACCTCGACTGGATTAAAAATGACAATTCTACACTAAATTTAGTGAACGAAACTACATTCTTCATTTTTAGTATCCCATAAACATTTGCAGCAAAAATTGAAGTAATAAAATTTGGTTAAGCGCTAAAGTTACTAAAATCACTAATCAAGGATTTCTGAAATCGTAGATTTCGAATCCAATGTTAGTTTTCTAAATTTCAAAATGGCGGATCCAATATGTCGGACAAATTTTTAAAAATCAATTAAATTCGTCTCAAATTCGTTACTCAGGGGTTTTCGGGGTCGCTGATTACGAATCCGATGTCAGATGTCAAAAATTAAAAATGGCGGATCCAATAGGTGCGAATTCGATGGATTTTAAAAAACTCGTTCACCTTTATAAATCCATCATTTTCAATTTTCGAAATCTGACATCGGATTCGTAATCAGCGATCCCGAAAACCCCCGAGTAACGAATTTGAGACGAATTTAATTGATTTTTAAAAATTTGTCCGACATATTGGATCCGCCATTTTGAAATTTAGAAAACTAACATTGGATTCGAAATCTACGATTTCAGAAATCCTTGATTGTTGAATTTTATTCTGTGACCTATGGACTGAAAGGTAAATAATAGCTTTTCCAATGATACCTCATTTATTATATTTTGACAAGCTAATTTTCTTACAGGTAAGTTTAAGTGGCGTCGCACCTCGAAAATGCAAAATTTGAAGCTACAGAAAAACTGCACGAGGGAAAAAAATTAAAACTATGATTTTCTTACTCAAAAAACACCTTCTATTCGAAAAAAAATGTTTTGTTCGATTGGCAATTTCACTGTAAACCAGTGGTAGATAACAAACGTGTTTAATTCGAATAAAATTGTTAATAAATTGGATTAAATTTAATCAAATTTATTACAAGTTGATGAAACTCAATTAAAATAATACGAACTTGAATAAAATTGATAACAAATGGGACCAAATTGTATCAAATTGAATAAACAATTCAAAAATTAATGAAAAATTTGATGAAACTGATACAAAAAAAAGTTTTAAAGCAATTTGAAAAGAAATTCTTTATAAAAGAAAATATTAATGATTTGATACATTTCTCTTTTAATTGAATCACAATTTAATTATTATATAAATGTAATTTAATTTAATTTAATTAAACCGCAATAAATGCAATCTTTATATATAATTTTGATTTCTTTTAATTTTTAATTAGAAACCATAATATTAAATTACAGGGAGAGTAATATAGAAAAGTTGATAAATCCTCTCCTTGGAGAAATCGTAAAGGAAATGTTACTATTTTCTCGGTATATTTGAAATGCTACAAACCGATAAAGAATTTCCTTTCACCGAGTCAGAATGCAAGTAATCACATAGACACTTTTCTGATTTGACACACTCAAAAGAAAAAAAGAGAAGAAAAAAAGGAAGAAATGCATTCCTAAAATGTAATTTTATTCCAAGAATGTATATAAAATCAGATTTTTATCGTATTTTTTTTTGTCAATTCTTGATTTTTTTAAAAAAATTCTCTCTTTATTTTTTACAATAAATAAAGAAAAGAAGAAGAAGAAGAAGAGAATTGAGACAAGAATGAGAAAGGAAATATTTGAAATGTAATCAAATTTTTTTTTTCCCCTTTGGATGTCCGAGGGGGAAAAGTGTATTATTTTATATTGAAGACGGAAAAAACATGATTTGAATCACAGATAAACCGGAGGTGGAAGTTAGTATGGAGCCGAGTGGTCCTATCAATGAGACTGACCGTGTGAACGTTTCTTTGACTTGCGAAGTCACCGACGGAAATCCGAGGACCTTGATTGCTGTCCGTTGGTATTTGGATGGGGATCTACTGAAGGAACTTCCGGATTGCACTCGGAACACGACTCCAGTGACCACAGATGAAATAGCCACCTTCTGCGACATTGATCCAAGTAAATTGCTCCTGGAGGCTGTCGGGAGATCATTTCATGGAAACTATTCCTGCGAAGGGAGAAATGAAGCTGGATGGGGACCCATATCTTCAAGCACGCCAGTTGTTGTAAACTGTAAGATTTTTTCTCTTATTTTTTTTTCCTCGAGATTTCCAATCATCTTCCATACAACTTTTTTTAAAAAAAATTTTTTTTTATTTTATTACTTTGTACTATATGGTAAAATGTAATAAAATAAAAATTTTTTTTTCAAACTTTTTTTTTACTTGTCTCATATTTGAATAATTTTAATTCTCATAAATGTAATAACGTGAATTTAAAACAAAATGTAACTGGGGAAAATTTAATTAGGTTGTAGTCACATTCGAGTACTCTAGTCAAGTTTTTAATAATAAAATATAGACGAAGTGGAAAATTTTACTTCATGTTTCGCTTGTTTAATTATTTTTCAAAAGAACTCGAAATTATGGAAAGATTGTTACAGAATAATATTTCTTTTGATGTAAAAACTTATGTAACTGCAAGAATTAAAAGAAGGGGGGGGGGGATTTATTCGACTGAAAGAAACGGTTACTTTACTGTTAGCAAATATTTATTTATTATATAAAATAACCATGTACACTAATTGTTATTTTGTTTATTATGATTTATTTTATTATTTATTTTATCTCAAATCAAATAAACCGAAATTTTATTTCACTAGAAATAATAATTATTAGTTTTGAGTAATTATTATTTAAACCAAATGGACATTTTTTAAACAAAAATAAAAAATAAATTTCTATTCCTAGGAAAATATAAAATAAAGATTATTAGGCTAGAATTATTCAAGTTAAATACCTACAATTTGTTAACAGAAAAAAAAGAAACAGAAATTGAGGGAAAATAAACTTTTATTTCTCGTCGAATAAAAAATAAAAATTATTAAGCTAGAATAATTATTATTTAAACTAAATGTAATTTGTTAATAGAAAAAAAATAAAAGCAGATATTGATTAAAAATAAATTTTTATTTTAAATCAAAAAATATTTATTTAATTTGAAAAAAAATTATAAGTCGATAGTAATTATTATTTATATTAAAGTATTTCGAAGTAAACATTTTCAGGTTGAGTAATTATAATTTTTATCAAATGAACTTTATTTTTAAAAAAAATTCATTTTTATCTGATTGGAAATAAAAAATCCAAATTTTTATTTGATTAAAAATTAAAAAAAGAATTTCATTTACTTAGAAATAAGAAAAAGAATTTTCATTTACTTAGAAATAAAAAAAAGAATTTTCATTTACTTTAAAATGAAAAAAACAATTTTTTATTTGCTTATAATTTTTATAAATAAAAAAATTCGATTTATTATTTGCTTAGAAATAAAAAAAACCGATTTTTATTTGCTTAGAAATTAAAAAGCCGATTTTTCATTTGCTTAGAAATAAAAAAAACCGAATTTTTATTTGATAAGCAATAAAAAATTCGATTTTTATTTGCTTAGAAATAAAAAAAACCGAATTTTTATTTGTATATAAAATGAAAAAACCGAATTTTCATTTAATTAGAAATAAAAATACCGATTTTTTTATTAAATAGAATATTAGGTTTTTTAAATCAAATGAATGAATAAATTGTACAAATTTTTAATTCATTTGTTAAAAAACTTTTTTTTTTATTACAAATTATAAATTTCTAATTAATTTATTATTTTCTGAAAAAATAAACAAATGAAAAACTGAAATTTGAAATTATTAAATTTTTTCTCTTCTTATTTGACATTTGAAATGACATATGATTTTACTTTTGAATCTGATTTTGGGAACCGAATGAAAATGGAGATTAAATTTGAAATCGTTTATAACAGATAAACCGGGACCAGCCTCGATATCATACGAACCCCTTCGAGTGATCAAAAAACACAGTTTAACTATTACATGCTCAGTGGAAGATCCAGGACGACCGGAAATTGCAGGCTTCAAATGGATGCGTGGTCTTTATAGATTACCGGATGAAAATAAATCAGTTCTCAAAATTGAATCGGCAAATCTTGAAACTGAAGCTAATTTTACATGTATGGCATATAATTCAGCAGGCGATGGTGATTCGGCAACAACTTTCGTTGATGTTCAAGGTGAGAAATTTATAAAAATTATTTTTAAAAAAAATTATTCCTAATAATAAAAAAAATCCCCTTATAAAAATTATTTAGAAATTTTCCCTTTAATTAAAAGAAAATGTCCTTTATAAGAATTTAAAAAGAAAATTCCTTATATAAGTTATTTGAAAATTTCCCCCTATAATAGGAAACGAAATAGGAATTTTTATTTAAAAATCAAAAAAATTGTTGAAATAATAATATAAAATTTTTAAAAAAGTTCCCTTAATAAAAATTATTACAAAATTCCATTGAGAATAATGATAAAAGTATATTCATTTAAAGAGAAAATAAATAGAAAATAAAAATAAGTAAGAAAATTTTCTTCTGTAAGAATTATGAAAAGAATTCCACCTTACAAAGATGAAAAGAAAAAATAATTATAGACATTTTCGTAATTGTTGAAATAAAGAAAAAAATTTTTCTCTTTTAATTCTTTTTTTATTAGTTTAAGAATTGAGTTACTGAGAACTTTGTAAATAAATAAATTAATTAGTAATGGTAATATGACTAATTAATTGTTAAAAAAATAATATTAACGATTTTTTTAGCTCCTCCGGCATTTATTAAGAAACTTCCACCATACGTGGGTTTTGCCTACAATGCATCGAGTGTGAGCATTGAATGCATTGTGGAATGTGCGCCAATTTGTAATATTTCCTGGAAAAAGGGCGATAAATTAATTGATTTTTCCGAATCGAAACAATATTACGTTAATAATTTTTATCGTTCACCGGATTTACGAACATTCGATTTTGAAAGTATACAGTCGACTTTAATTTGGAATCTCACTGCCTGGCCGAATGGTCAACTTGATAGATTAGAAGATAATGGAAGATTCACCTGTGAAAGTACCAGTAATGGCGTTGGAAAAGCCGTTAACAGTAATACCACATTTCAAGTTGAATGTACGTTTCAAGAATTTTTTTTAATTTTCATTTCAAACTTTTATTTTTATTTGAAATTTGATTTTTATTTCAATTTTTGTTTTATTTTAATATTTTACATTTTATTGAAATTAGAATTTGAATTGAAAATTGAAATTCAATTAAATTTTAATAAAAAATTTATATTCAATTAAACAATTAAACATTGAAATTCTAATTTTTTGTTAGCTTTCGTTATTATTATTCTTTTTACAATGTAGAAAAAGAGGAAATATTTTTTGAAAAATTTATTCTGAGACGTAATTAAATATTTATTTTCTTCATTAGTTCATTCATTAGTTTTAATTCGTTTCATTCACCAGATTATGTAAAGGGATAAGCGCTTCTTAATAATAAGATTTAATATTTTCTAGAGTTTATTATTTTATTATTTTATTATTTTATTATTGTGAAGTATATCCTACTATTCAAATTTCTTCAATTACTATTTTTAGTTGATTTCAAATTTTTGTCATTTTTTGTAAGAAAAAATTTTATTTTCTTGATTTCGAAAAAAATGTATAAAAAAATAATTTCTTTTAAAATTTATTCTGGTAATTTAGATCCACCAGAGAATCTAACGATATCAAGGGAGAGAATAAACGTCATCGTAGACCATATACCGGAAAAAATAAGTTGCTCAGCAAAGGCTTATCCGGAACCACAATTTGAATGGTATCGTGAAGGATCGAATGAAATTCTAGGAACTTCAAATACACTTTCATTTGAATATACATTTCCAAAAAGAAGTAATGGAACGTATTACTGTAGAGTTAAAAATCGTCAAGGAGTTAATAATATCTCGACTTATATAAACGTTCAATGTGAGTTAACAAATTTTTTTTCTTCTATCAAAATAATTTTTTATCTATGCTTTAAAATTTTTTTTTCAATTAATTTTCAATTATTTATTATAGTAGAAAAACAAAAATTAATTTACATATTAAATTTTTTTTTCATTTAGTTTAGAAATTTATTTTATTACTGGAATAAATAATTTTTATTCCATTAATTTATTGATAATTAATAAATTAATATTTATTCCATTAATTTTTTTTCATTAATGGAATAAAAGTACGAATAAACAATTTTTCCACTAAATATTAAATTAAGAATTGAATTAAAAATTGGACTGGAAATGCAGTTAAAAATTGAATTAAAAATTGAACTGAAAAATGGATTAAAAATTAAGTTGAGAATTGAATTTGAAAAATCCACTTAAAAATTGAATTAAAAATTGAATTAAAAATTAAATTAAAAATTAAATTAAAAATTAAATTAAACATTGAATTGAAAATTGAGTTGAGAATTAAATTTGAAAAATCCACTTAAAAATTGAATTAAAAGTTCAGTTGAGTTTAAATAACTGAATTAAAAATTGAATTGGAAATTGAGTTAAGAATTGAATTAAAAATTAAATTAAAAATTGAATTGAAAATTGAGTTAAGAATTGAATTTAAAAAATTTACTTAAAAATTGAATCAAGAATTGAATTCAAAATTGAATTCAAATTGCATTGAAAATTGAGTTAAGAGTTTAAATAAGTGAATTAAAAATTAAATTTTAAGTTGAGATAAGAATTGAATTAAAACTTAAATTAAAAATTGAATTAAACTTTGAATTGAAAATTGAGTTAAGAAGTGAATTAAAAATTTCAATAAAACTTATATTAAAAATTGAATTGAAAATTGATATATGAAAATGGAATAAATAAATTACAACCAACATAAATTTTGAATAAATGGTAATAAACAAAATAAAAATTATTTAATCGAATATATTAATTGAACAATTAATTTTTATGAATTCCATTATTATTGGAACATATTTAGATAAACCGGAATGCCGAATAGAAAGAGAAAGAAGAGACGGTCAGGATTACATCGTTTGTTCGGCTGAGGGCAATCCGAAGGAATCTGATTTTACTTGGACTTTAAAAGTTGGTAACGATACTTTCGATCAAAATGCGGAAATACACGAGGGCAAAAGTTATATTTTATTGGAGGACCTTAACAAATTTCGTACCTATATATGCGTCGCCAACAACTCCATTGGTTTTTCAAACGAATGCGAACTCGACGTTCCAGGTCAGTATTCAATCTAAAAACGATTAATTATTTTTTTTTAACTCTCTTTATCCGCTTTTACTTTTTTTCTCTCCTCTTTTTTTTAATCTTTTTCCCCTTGGGATGAAGGAGAGAGGGAGAGAGAAAGAGAAAAAAACAAAAAAAAATTCATTTACATTCAAATGAAGAACTAAATTTATTTTGGAAATTTATTTAGAAAACTTTTTAATGATAATATTTATTTATTTTTAATACTAATTATTTTTCGTATTATTTGTTTTTCATATTATTTATTTATTTTCGTCGATGTTTTTTTTTATCTATTTTCAATATTATTGATCTAGTTTTAATATTATTTCTCGATTATTATTATTATTATTATTATTATTATTATTATTATTATTATTATTATTATTATTATTATTATTATTATTATTATTATTATTATTATTATTATTATTATTATTATTATTATTATTATTATTATTATTATTATTATTATTTGTTGTTGTATTATTTATTATTTACTATTTAAGAATATTAGAGAACTTTTTTTTACTTTTTCCTTTTTTTATTTTGTACTTGAAAGTAATTGACAAAAAAAAGGTTTCGTTATAAACCGTTAGAGACTTAATCAAAACTTTTAATGTACCTTTCCCTAGAGACTGATAATTTTTAAGTTCTTTTTTTCTTCGTAAATTAAAAGTTCTATGTTGAATATTATGATTCTTGTTTAATTGTTCGAGGGAAAATATTTAAAATAAAGAAAGAAGTTTTTTTTATAATAATTATTTAATTTTATTAATTTATTTTTACTATCATCATTATTTATTCTTTAATAAATATTTATTTTTTCATTCATTAAAATTATTTATCAATTTAGAAAGTATGAATTATTTATCTCCAAAATAAACATTTATTTTTCATTATTATTATTATTAAATATTATATCGAAATTGAATTAAAATTTTCACATTTACATGAATTCAATTTTCATGAATAGATTTATACCCCTATTAAATAGAACATTTAATGTTGATTCTCAGGCATATAAATCTTTCATATTTCCTTAGCTCGCCTGGGATACGACGGTAAGTTTAATGGTATTATGAAATATCACTTTTATCTTCTGTGTCATCAGAAATTTTAAATATTTTCTGAACTCATTTTTTTTCAATGCATTTTTTCTCCAACATGAATATCATTTTTTTAAGGGAAAAAAAGAATTTTTTTCTACCCCCACTTTAAAAATATGTATATATAGTCGTTGATTTATCGTTTGCGATAAAAAAAATTCTACTTTTTAAGATTAAAAAAAAGAAAAAAAATTATGCAAAATATTTTTTCTTCGGAGAAACTTTCATTTTTTGAGTACCACTAAATATTCTCTAAAATAGTGTGGAATAGAAATTGAAAAGTTTTGATAGATTTTTTTTTACATGGGAGAAGAAAACTAACTTGGAAATGATTGAAATTATTTCTTTTTTTGAATTTTTATTTCTTGTTTTTCTCTTTTTTCGGATTTTGAATTTTTTTTTTTTTGGCTAAAGTAAAAATAAAGAAAGGGGGAAAAAATAGGTAAATGAAATTCAAAACTTCCTGATGTAAATTTATAAAGATTTCATAATACGATGCAAATGTGATTTCTGTGTGCAAGTAACGTAAACTTGGTTTATATAAGATTCTGATTTGAAACTTTTGGTATACGAAACCTTTGAATTTTCAAGTTACCCTCATCTCTAAATTTTCGTACGTCTCTTCTTACATCCCTGTTGGTATATATATATCTTAAATGGATCAAATTTCAAGAATGTTTTTATTTTTCTTTTTTTTTGTTTCTTTTTTTTGAGAATGATGTTTTTCCAAGTTCTTTTTGAAAGTAGAGAGAGTTACACTTTGTGAGTTGGCATTAAACAAACTTTTGCCATAATGCAGAAGCATACAATATAACACTGACGTGTGTAAAGCTTTTGGGAGTGGTGTACATTAGTGTATTAAAACGTCCATTGAATGAAAGTGAGTTCAGTATATATAAGTCCAGGTTCTACTCTAGAAAATCAAGTGCACTTTTTTTGTTTTGTCGCACACTTCTATTTATCAGAATTTTTTTCTTTTTTTTTAAATTACTTTCCCCGTCATTTATGTTCCGTGGCTGCAAAAAGTTTTTTAAATTTTTTTTAGTGTTAAGAATTTACATTTATTACTTTTTAAATTATTTTTTTGCAGAAACGTTTAAATATTTAATAATTTCTTTTTATATTGTTTGTCGTTTAAATAAATACTTTTTTATTGTCTCTTATGTAATTTTTTAATTCATGTAAATTTAATTAGTTATACAGATAAATTAAATAAAAAAATTCTGTAAATAGATTCAGTAAGATTTAATTGATTATAAAATTGTTTCTGAATTAGAAAAAAATTGCTTTTCTTTTGATAAATTTCGATCGAAAATTTTTTTTATTTCAATTTTTTATAAAATTTGTCAGTGTTAAAATTGTTGATTCATTTCAATTTTTTGTACAGATAATCTTACAGTAGAAGAAAATTAAATAAATACTAATGTATAGTAAATTATTGTTTAATAAAGTTAATTTAATTAAAGCAAATAAATTAATTCAAATATTATGTGATTTTTTAAATAGATTCAGATTTCTAAAATAATTTTAGTTTTCTAAAATTAGAATTGATTTCTGGGGGTCGATTATGTAATTTAATTTCTACTTTGACTTTTTTTTTTACTCTCCTAGATTTTTTATTTTCTTTTTTATTTTCATTTTTGATTTCACTTTGATCATTTTTTATTTATACTCATTATTTTCGCTATGAAAGATTTTTTATTTTCACTTTTTTTTCAGTTTGAAAATACTAATCTATCAAATTGGAAGCTGAAATGAAATTGAATTTAAAATAATCAATCAATGTGAAAATGAAAGTGAAATTAAAAATCTAACAAATTAAAAATGAAAAAGAAAGTGAATGAAAACTTCCTGCTTTAAAAAAATTGCTTTAGTTTTAGTAAATTAAAATCAAAAATTTTTTTATTTCAATTTTTTCAAATTTTTCTTTGTTACACATTTTTTCCACTATTTTAATTTTTTTTTGTATAGAAAATTTAATTCCAGAAAAAATATTTAAATATTTTATGTACCATTATAATTTTATTTTTTATTCACTGTTTAAATTGTTTTTGTATAAAAAAATCTTTTTGTGAAAAAATATTTAAATAAATATTTAATTTATATTTCGTGTAATGTACCTAGTTTAAATAAATATTTTTCGATTAAAGTAAATTTGATTAAAGTAAATAAATAAATAATACATTTCTGAAATGAATTAACATTTTTTTAATAGGTTCATATTTTTTTTTAAATTAAAATTTATTATTTTTGCAGAAGAAAATAATTGCACCATTTTTTGTAAATTACATTCGAAAAATTTTCTATTTCAATTTTTTTCTGATATTTACATGGAAAATAGATTCAGATTTTTTAAATTGATTAAGATTGTTTATTTTTGTAGAAGAAAATAATTGTATATACTTTTTTTTGTAAATTATTCTTCAAATCTTTTTAATTTCAATTGAAATAGATCCCAAATTTTTAAATAGACAAAAATAATTATTTCTTTATATAAAAGAAAATAATTATGACTATTTTTCGTGAATTACGGTAAAAAATTCTTTTATTTCAATTGTCTTTAATTTTTTCAGCGTTAAGAATTTTGATTCACTATTTAAACATTTTCAATTTTGTGTAATAAAATATCTTTTTGAAGAAAAAATCTTTTTGACGAAAAAATTCTTGATGAAAATATTCTAATTGAGGAAAAATATTTAAATATTTAATTTATATTTAATTATTGTTCAAATATCGCTTGAATGAATATTTTTATTTTTTTATTCAATTATTTGTTTCTATTTCAACTGAATGAATGTAAACAAATAAATTAAATAAAATATTTTCCAAACAGTTTCAAGATTTTTGAAAATAATAAATAAATAATGTCACCATTTTTCGCAAATTACGATTGACATTGTTCGTAAATTACGTTTGAATTTTTCCTAGTAAACATTTGTTTGACACTTTTAAAAACGTTATACTTTGTTGGGATTTGGGAGAAAATTTAATATTTTTTTTTCGTTAAAGAGAATTGAATTCCGTCATTGATAATAAAAAATTTGCATGATCTCGTAAAAAGCGAAATTGTAATGCCTTCGTCGCTTTAAAAGAAGTGTAAATTTATCAATTTTGCGCGCGCAAAAAAAAATTGAAAAAAAAGGATGGAAAAAGCATGAAAGTGCATTTTTATGGGGTAAATTTTATGTTTTCCCCATTTTATTTGCTATTATGTTTTAAAATTCTAATTGATTAATATATTGATGACTAAAAGGAGAGAGAAAGAGAGAGTGGCAAAAAAAAAGTTTTTGAATTTTCTCTTTTTACAGGAAGTACTCCATGGTGGTTGAGGATTTTAGAAATGCCCACACTTGCGATCATTGTCGCGGTGGTTGTTCTAATTGCGATCATCATTGCTGGCACTGTCATTTTCATAGTTTGCCGACGAAAGCGCACTCCGGGGAAATGTGAGTTGACTTCAGTTACTGAATATCGTTAACGCTTAGTGTGAATTCAAATTTGCATGCTTTAGGAGTAATGTGGAATTCCTTCAAAACGAGCATCATCAGAAGTTCTCCAAACTTCTAAATCCAATTTTCCTGAATTACCCATTTAATAAGATTTAAGAATAAGTTTACATCTTAAATTGAACCTCATCAAAATGAATTTTTTTTTCTACTTTCGCAAAATATTACAGTTCCATTTTTATTAATTCAATTCTATTTCATTTAATTATTAATTTTCATTACGAATTTTTTATTTCTTTTCTATAATTTTTGCTGTTCTTTTCTATAAATAAAAACAAACTTTTGAAGGTATTCCTTTAGGAAAAAAAACTTTTCTGAAACACTACTTTCAATAGAATTAATCGACCATGGATAGCAAAAAAGCAAAAAAAAAAAATAATAAAAGAAAAATCGAATTGAGTGAAGGAAAAAAATTTATCGATCGCGTGGTTTGTAAGAAGGGAAAAAAAATTGTTTCAAGACTTTCAGTACAGTAAAATGCATTTACAAGTGGATAAAACTTTTAAATACTTGGTAATAAGACGTTCATTTAGGTTTAATAAGAAGCAATAAAATATTCACGGTAACTTTTTTCTTTTTTTTCTACACTTCGTGATTTGAATATGAAATGAAAAGACTTTTTTTTTGTCTTTTTTTTTTTGAAAAAAGCTCGATAAACTCCCTAATCGTTGTTGGCAATATCCACACACCAGTGACTGTGTGAAACGAACGAGAAATTTTGCTAAACTCATTTATATGCGTGTCACCTTCTTTTGTAATTGTAAGATTTGTATGCACCCGGTCGCTTCGATTTAACGCGACGTAAAATGTTTTATTTAAATGCCATTAAATGGCACTTAGGCCGTGTAAAAAAAAATCCCTTTCATTTCGAAAAAAAATTTCCTTTATCTTGTGCACCATTACCTTTTTTGTTTTGTTTTAAAGTCCAGAGGAAAAAAAAATATAATTTTAAAAAGAATTTAAATTGTTTTTTTGGAAAATAAAGGAAAATAGTAGAGGTTTTGGTCTCTCGGTTTTAATTTAAATGAAAACAAGTTTTTTTAAACTAAAAATATTTTATTTAGAGAAATAAAAATTCTACTTTTTTATAATTTCATTGACTTTTTTGTTTTTTTATGATTTTAGTAAATTTTCTGAAAATAATTCCATTGTTTAGAAGAATTTTATAAAACTTTTTGATAATAATTAAATTCTTTCAAAAAAAAAAAATATTAAGATTTTTGAAATAATTAAATATTATTACAATCTTTTGAAATAATTGAATCTCTACTAAAATTTTTTAAAATAATTAAATACCTGCAAAGAATTATACTATTTATGAGAATAATGTAATTCTTCAAAGAAATTTAATCAAAATTTTTGAAAATAATTGAACTTCTTTGAAGAATTTTATTACAGTTTAAATAAAAATAATCGAATTCCTGATAAAAATTTTACTATTCATGAAAAAATGCAATTCTTGAAAAAAATTTTACTATATTTATAAAAATAATTGAACTTTTGAAATGAAATTTATTATAAATTTTCTACAAATAATTGAATTATTTCTAATAATTTTATAAAAATTTTAGAAAATAATTGAATTTGTGTGAAGAATTTTATGAAAATTTTTTAAAATAATTAAATACTTGCAAAGAATTGAACTGTTTATAAAAATTATTAAATTTCTATTAAGAATCTTTATTAAAATCTTAATGAAAAATAATAGAATTTCTACTAAAACTTTTACTGTTCATGAAAGAAAGGAATTCTTGAAAAGAATTTTACTATATTTATAAAAATAATTGAATTATAAAGAATTTTATGAAAATTTTTAAAAATAATTGAATTTCCGCTAAGACTTTAAAAAATTTTTTATAAAAATAATTGCATTCTTACTAAGAATTTTATTAATTTATGAAAATAATTGAATTCCTACAAAGAATTCAATTACTACTTTAAGTAATTGAATTCTTAAAATAAAATTCATTAAATTTTTTTAATAATAATTAAATTCTTTGGAAGAATTTACTATAGAATTTTATATAAATTTCTGAAAATAAATTAATTGTTTCCAAGAATTTTATTTCAATTTAAAAATAATTGAATTTTTGCTAAGAATTTTATTAAAATTTCAAAAAACAATTAAATTGTTTCCAAGAATTTTATTAAAATTTTAAAATAATTGAATTTTTGCTAAGAATTTTATTAAAGTTTAAAAAAATAATTGAATTATTACAAAGAATTTTACTACTTTAAGTTATTGAATTCTTAAAATGAAATTCATTAAAAATTTTTAATAATAATTGAATTCTTTGGAAGAATTTATTAAAGAGTTTTATATAAATTTCTGAAAACAATTAAATTGTTTCCAAGAATTTTATTTCAATTTAAAAATAATTGAATTTTTGCTAAGAATTTTATTAAAATTTAAAAAAATAATTGAATTTTTGATAAGAATTTTATTAAAATTTTTAAAAATAATTGAATTTTTTAAAGAATCTTATTATTTATGAAAATAATTGAATTATTACAAAGAATTTAATTCAGAATTTTTTCGAATAATTGAAAAGTATTGAAAATAATTGAATTCTGACAAATAATTTAATTAAGAAGTTTTTCCAATAATTGAATTGTTTCGAACATATTTATTTAATTTTCTGAAAATAATTGAATTTTGTCAAAGAATTTTATTAGAATTCTGTAAAAGAATAAATTATAATAAATAATTAGAAAGAATTTAGAAAAAAAATTTTTATTTAAAATTGATCAAAAGTCAGGTTTGTATTTAAAATGAAATAAATTTTGTAATTTGCACATAATAATAAATTAAATACTGTGTTTTGCGCTCTGGTCCGTGTAACACATTTCATTGTAAATGATAAAAGAGTAATTAATAATAAATAATTATTTTTATAAACAAATAAATAATAAAAGAATTTTTTTACAATTTTACTCTCTTTTATTTTTTATTTATATTATCATTTATTATAATTTTTTAATATTTCTTTCTAATAATACAATAAAATTTATTTCTAACATCAATAGTGAATCGACTCTGACATATTTTATTTCGTTACTTGTTAATTTTCGGGTTACTTTAACACACAAGGTTATACAGAGTGAATTTATTTCACGATTTGGTTCATAGAACGCGAGAACATGAAAATTCACTCAAAATGCATTAGCAAAACGAATGTGTTTTAGTAATAAATATATATATTGAATGTCCAATAAGACATTGTAAAATTGTAATTTATCTATCCATGTAAATCAATCGGGGAAAAAAAAATTCCGATGCAAAAAACTAACGAAAGTGGTGTTTCTTAAAAAAAAGTTATTTTTTATTGAAATGAAGACATTAATATTTTTTGCACACAAACACAAAATTTGGGCGATGACAAGAAAAGAAAAAAAAATAGGAAAACGAAAAATATTTTTGAAAAATTTGCCCGCAAGTATTTAACATATTCTATATAACAATATTTAATTATGATATTTTTTTTTTCAACACTGCATTTTTTGCAATTGTTTTTTTGTGTTTTTCAGTACATCTAGAGAGTAAGATTTTTTATACATGCTTGCTATGAGCATGAAATGTTATTGAATTAAAAAGTTTTAATTTTTCTTTCTTTTGTTTTTTGACCATGACTAATTGAGCAATTGAGTCAAGTGATTTTTTTTTTCTTGACAATACATCTCAGAAGCAAGAGATGAAGTAAATATATTTAAGCATGTCATTGTGCCAAAACTGCTGTAATGTCGAAGACACATTCATTTAACGGTAGGTTAAATTTGAAGAATTTCATTGAAATTTTGAACATTCAATTAATTAATTAATTAATTAATTGTTAATTAAAAGTTTAACTTCTTGGTAAAAATTCAGTATTTGTTGTTTTTACTATCATTTTAAATTATTTACAGTATTTCAAATTATTTTTTATTAAAACTTTAAAATTATTATTATAAATGAAAATTATCAAATATAATTACAATTTATTTTATTATTCGCCACTGCGCAATTTTTACTGTTTAAAATATTAATTTATAGTTAATTATTTAATAACTTTTACATTTTTACATTAAAATTATTATTAAATTATTATTTAATAGCTTCTAACCTTTCTTGGCAGCGCGTTGCAATTATAATTTAATACCTGATAAAATTTATACTGATACTAAATAATAATTTATAATTATTATTTAATATTTTACAATTTTCGTTGTTATTAAATTAAATAATAATTTATAATCATTGTTTAATAATTAAAATTTTTTATTGACATTAAAATATAGTTTAATTTATTAATAAGTAACAAAAACTAATTTGTTATAAATTATTTTTTAATATTAATTTGTAATTAATTATTAACTAATTTGTTTTTAATTTGTAATTAATTTGTAATTAATTTGTAATTAATTTGTAATTAATTTGTAATTAATTTGTAATTAGTTAAAGTAATTAATTGTTATGTACTTATTAATTGACTATTACTCAATTAATTATTCTTTTATTGTTTATTGATTAATATTTAATTGATTAAATGATAACAAATAATTATTTATTAATTTAGTACTTAATTATAAATTGATAAACATTTAATTATTAATTAGTTATTAATTTCCAATTTAATAATAGAATTTTTATTCATTGTTAAATTTTTATTGCTTCATTGTATGGAATTATTTTCTATAGATAATTTCAACGAGCATTTGCCAACTTTTAGAGAACATATAATAATGTATTATTATTTCCGTTTAAAGGTGACATTTACGTTCTCTTGCCTCGCATATAAAGGCTATTATTGTAGTTAGAGCGTTAATTAATTTTGCTAATACGAAACAATAGGGTAATTTTGATTAGAAACATGAAATATTAAAGTACGATATAATTGTAGTAATAATTTGTTTTTTTCATTTCATTTTGTTAATTTGTTTTTTTTTTGTGTTTTTTTTCTTTTGTTTATTCGTTTGTTTGTAGTTTTCGACATTACAGTAGTAGACACACGCTAGCCAACCTCACTAACACAAACTTATTTGTTTCTCTTTCTGCTTTTTAATTTGGACTTACTAAACAAAACACAGACAGTAACCGGGTGGTTGAACTGGAAGAACGCGAGCAGTAAGTACTCAATATTTTTTTAATTACTTTACATTCTTTGTTTATAATTTATGCTGATAGTTGCTTTTGCATGAAATGCTTTTTCATTTTTAAAAATAATTGTAACAATAGTAATTATAAAAACACCACCACTATTTTTTTGCATGTTTTGAATGGACCAAATGATGGAGCAGTTTTTTTTCAATGATTAATTAATTTTAACAATTAATTAATCAGTGTTGCGTATCGATTCATTAAATTAAACTAAATATTATTTGTGGCAAAACAATCATCGGATAATAATTAATAATTGCAATTAATTATTCAACAAACAAATGAATTATCGTCATTAATTGATCAACGTTTAATTATTAATATTAATTTATTCGTCAAAATTAAACAATTATTAGAATTCATTATTCAAGAAAGATAATTACAACAATTACATGTTCAAAAAAATGAATTATTTATTTATTCAGTGAAAGAAAAATAAATTATTCGCTAAAATGAAATAATTATTACAATTCATTATTCAACAAAAAAATGAATTATCTAATTACTTCGCGAAAAAATGAATTACTTCATTATTGAGCGAAAAAATAAATTATTAAATCATTTAATAAGGAAATTTATTATTTATTAAAGAAGATTTGAAACATTCTGACGTCACAGATTGTGCAAAGCATAGAAAGATAGTAAATAATTTATTATACTTATTTATTATTAATAATAATATTAACTAATTTTATAGTAAAAATTAGTAATTGAAATAGAGGATCGTGATTTTTAATTATTTTTATTCGTATAGAGTTATACAATAATTTTAATAATTAGATCGATAATTTAAAAAGTATATTTTGCTTGTATAAAAAAATCAGGAGGGAAATAAACAAAATAAGAAGACAAAAATTATTGACTTTACATTTCTAAAAATTTGTTCGAAAAAATTTTAATTTGAGTGGCAATTTTGAGACATATTTTTTTTATGATGAAAATTCACAGTTAAATTCATAAAATTATACTTGAAATATGTGGCAGATATTCGGGTTGTAATTAACACTGTATAGTAATTGCATCAGGAAGAATTCTTTTCAAGTATACAAGTGACTCTATGGAAGATGATGGAACTCAAAATATTCTGAATATTTCATAATTAAGTGCACTTGTAGTTCAACGTTTCTTTTTTTTTTTACTTTTTTTTAATTCTTTTTTACCCTACTGCGGAAGGTACGCAATATTTGTCCAAACGTCAGCGTAGGCTAATGAAAGTTAATGCAAACTTTCATTAAATATTTCTTTTTCAATCTTTTTTTTTTTTTTTGCTTTTTGTAACAAAAATTCATAAACTCTCATCTTTTTTCTTTTTTAAAAAAAAATATATCCCTTTCACGTTTCTGAAATATTTCATTGGAACATTGGGAATATTTCCACCACATTTTAGAAATATTGAAATTTTCGGAATTTTTGAATATTCAATAGGAATATTAATTTTTTAAATTAATATTGACTTTTCAATATTCCTAAAATGTAGATGGAATATTCGAATAAAATTTTCTTGATGTTCCAATGAAATATCCCAGAAATGATTTTTAATTAGAAAGAATTTAAATTCGTAAAATAAGATTTTTTCATAACTATAAAACATGAAGAAAGTGATTACTCCGAGTCGAAAACTCGGAGTAATCAATTTCTTCATGTTTTATAATAATTAAAAATGTCAAATTGATAAAATCATAATTTTATATTATAAGAATATTGTACTTCTTCAAAATTATTTTCATCATTGCAATTCAATTATTATTTTTAAGAATTTTTAACTACAATTTTACTTTATATCAATTATTTTTAATAATTTTCGACAAAGTTCTTTGGCAATTTTCAAATCCATTTGTTTACAATATTCAATTTTACAAATTTTAATTATTCGTAAATTCTTCAATTAAATATATATTAGAAAATAAAAACTTCAAATAATATGAAAAAAATTCAATTACAATTTAAAAAAAAAAAATAATTTCAAAATTCAATTATATCTAAAAATTCACGCTATATTGCTTTTAATATTCAATAATTATTATCTGAAATTTTAACTGAAATTCATTTTTAAATTAATTCTTATTAGAAATCTCTATTAGAATTAAATTATTTAAATATAAAAAAATAATTCATTGAATATTTGAATGTTTCTTAAAATTCAATTCTCATAAAGAATTTTATCAACATCTTTTTGAATAATTGAATTCCTAAGAAGAATTTTCCTATTTTTGAACATAATTACATTTTTTTAATGTTAATTAAAATTTTTCTATAAATCCATTATTTTTAATAATTTTTAAATTAGATTGTTGAGAATTTTCAAATTCATTTCTTTTTAACTGAAATTCATTTTTAAATCAACTTTTATTAGAAAATTCTACTAGAATTCAATTATTTAAATACAAAAAAATAATTTATTGAACATTTGAATGTTTCTCAGAATTCAATTCTCATAAAGAATTTTATCAACATATTTTTAAATAATTGAATTCCTAAGAAGAATTTTACTATTTTTGAAGAAAATTAAATTTTTTTAGTGTTAATTAAAATTTTTCTATAAATACATTATTTTTAATAATTTTTGAAATAGTTTTTTGAGAATTTTCAAATTTATTTGTTTTCAACTAAAATTCATTTTTAAATCAACATTTATTAGAAAATTCTATTAGAATTCAATTATTTAAATAGAAAAAAATAATTTATTCAATATTTGAATGTTTCTTAAAATTGAATTCTCATAAAGAATTTTGTCAAAACAAATTTTTAAATAAATGAATTCGTTTGAAGATTTTTAATGAAATTTTTCATAATAATTACATTTATCGAGGAATTCGATTAAAATTTTATTAAAAATAATTGAAATTCTGCGACGAGTTTCATTATTTCTAAAAATAATTGAATTCCTAAAATGAATTTTATTATTTAGAAAAATAATTGAATTCCTATAAAAATTTTATTATTTAGAACAATAATTGAATTATATTGTGAAGAAATTTATAAAAAATTTGTAAATAATTGAATTTTTGTGAAATTTTTATTATTTTATGAAAATAATTGAATGTTGGAGTAGAATTTTATTAAAATTTTTTTAAATAATTGAATTTTTTAGAAAATTTTATTAAAATAATAGATAAATTGAAAATCATTGAATTGAGGAAAATTTTTGAAAATAATTGAAATTTTGCCAAGAATTTTATTAAAATTTTTGAAATTTTGTCAAGAATTTTATTAAAATCTTTAAAAAAAATTGAATTTTAGAGAAGAATTTTATTATTTATAAAGAAAATTGTAATTTTGAAAAGAATTTAAAAAAAATTTTGAACATAATTGAATTTCTGCGAAGAATTTTATTATTTTTGAAAATAATTGTAAATTGTCAATCATTTGTAATTTCTCTAAAATTCTTTAAATTATATGTTACAATTTACGAATTTTTTGTCCCTTTTTAAATCAAATTACGAACTTTACGGACCTAGTTCGAGCCCTGCAGTAACCATACAATAATAATAATGTAAAAAAAATTATTTCACAAAATTTATATTCTTTCTTTTTAAAAATCATTAAAATTTAGTAGAATTCCTGTAGAAATAATATAGAATTGTTTGAGTAAAATTCTATAGACTATTCTATAGACTATTCACTAGAATTTTTATAGAATGAATCTATAGAATGATTCTAGTGAAATTCTACAGAATATTCCCTAGAATTCTAATATAATGATTCTATAGAATGATTCTTGTGAAATTCTATAAAACTTTTTCATCACGGAGGGAGTATTAAATATTATGAAAGAATCTACATTAATAAAATGTTAAATAATAATAAATACAAGTATATTAATTAATTTTTAACAAATGTTAAAAAATCCATATTTTATAAAATATCGATTAGTAGTTAGTTATTATAATAGTATCACAATTTATTTGACAATAACGAAAAATATTTTCCAAAATAAAAATTGTAAGGAATATCGGTCCTGATTGAGCATTAGAGAATTTTCGTCCATTTAATGAAGAAACTTTATATATATTATATATATATATATATATATATATATATATATATATATATATATATATATATATATATATATATATATATATATATATATATATATATAGAAGGAGAACATGTATATAGTGTATAAGAAACTCTCGAGTAGATATAAAGTTGGCATCTTGGATTTCCAATAATTTGGACGTTCATTAGGTGGAAGGGAATCGGCTTTAGTTTATCAAGCATGTGTTACTTACTGCTCCATCGTTTGAACGGAATTCGATTGAATTCGGGTCACGTTATAGAAGAGAAGAGAAATGTTGTTTGCATGATGAAATATATTATATGAAATACTTACTTTAAAAATCAATTTTCTTTCTTTCATCGGATAAATAATTCTTCTAGTCCGACATTTTTTTTTTTTTTTTTTTTTTTTTTTGAGTTAATGCGTGCATGCTCTCGCAACGTTATACGTTATTTGCACGAGCAATGGAGCGTTTGTTTGGCTCCAATCTCACTTGGGAACGTTTTGGTCCCAGTGCTTGAATGCGAGTTTCTGTTGCATAATTTAGTGATCGCCGCCGCCATGGTCTCTCGTAGATCTAGTCCTCTCGTCGTTCTCGTTCTCGTTCTCGTCGACGCTTGAAAATCCAAGTATTCACGATTTCAGTAAAATTCAGAGGTAAGGACTGAAACGTACATACACACACACATATACACACACTTACACAATGATATATCCTATTCAAAAAAGGGAGTCTCTTCGTATTACTCTCGTTTTCAAGCACTACATTATTGTACGCAGCACGAAATTCTGAATTGTCGTTGGACAATTTTAGGAAAGTTAAACGGCTTCTCCATTATATTATACGGTTCATATAGCTGTTCCGTTTTCGCATATTAATCATTCCAGATAACTGAGAGGTATATAGGAATCCTCGAGGTCTCTGGTGAACAATAGAGCTTCAGATACCAAGCTCGGGTCAATT